TCCTCCAGTCCTCCCCTCCCCTCCCCCTACTTACCAGCTCTGAGTCTGGCTGGGCAGTGCCTTCCCCTACTCCAGCCCCACTCCCTCCCTCACCATGAGGGCCTTCATCTTCTCCCCCATGCCCCACCCCCACAAGACTTACCAGCTGAAGCTGCTCTCCAAGCTGCAAGGCTGCGTAGCAGATCGGTGTCAGCCAATATGGCCATCAGTATAGTGCAAAAAAATCTTTATTGGTGCTAGTTTTAGAACTGTCCATCTTAAGCAGAAACAGCTCACTATAGCCTAGTAAGCAAGAAGAAAGACCACAGACCAGGGCAAAAGTAATATTTTGACTATTTAATTACTCTATCTATGTACCTGTATATAAATATACTAGCAAATTGCCCGTCATGAGTTTGGTGGGCCACCTGCAGTCCACTGTACCACCCAGCACCCTGTGGTGTTGCCACTCTGCCTCCAGCCTCATGTCCTCCCCCACCCCCTGCATCCGGCTCTGTGTGCCCCCCCACACACACTCTGCCGCTCCACACTGCACCACCGCCAGCTCCCAGGAGTGGCAGGGAAGGGGAGCTTGCACACGGCAGCAGCTGCGGACACACAGCAGCAGGCAACATGCCTCCCTCTCTGCTGTTTGTTGTCAGGGCTGGGCAGCAGTGGGGGGCACTGCCGCCAGAAACACCCCCTTCCTCTCCTCTCCTTCCCTCTTCGCAGCCTCCCCCTCTTTGCTGGTTGTTGTTAGAGGTGGTGTGGGGGCTTCCTCGCTCCCTGTGTTCATAAAGCTGCGGGCCCTTGCATCCAATCAGCACACATCCTCTTGGTGATGCACGAGCAGTTGGCGTTATATGGACAGATAGACTAATGCTTTTATTTTATTACAATGTGCAAAACTCTGTGGAGTAGCTGTTTACATGGTTTTTCTTTAAAAGTTTGTTTTCTCTTTGTCAATCATGTTTTAAATCTAGTAAAGAACACTTCCCTAATTGTAGGTTCTGCAGTCCACTGTTTGGCCCAGTAATTTGTGTTCAGTCTTGAGCTAGTTAAGGTTCATGCGTCAGCCAGACACCTCCTTTCATGCCTTCATCTGGCCTGAAGACTCACTGCATGGCCGGCCTCAGGTTGCATCCCTATACTGAAGAGTCCTTGTACCTAAGTGGTTTTTTTATCTTCCTGTTTTATTATCATTACCTTTTCCCATCTAATACTAAGTCCCTGCCACTGCCTTTCTGTTGGGAGAGGTTTGACCTTGGCCATGGCCCATGCCAGCTGTGCTATATGGGTTGATTTCTTGTCACAAAGTTATTTGGCTAGCATCTTCCACCTGCCTGTGAGTGGAGTTCTGCTGCCATTCCAGGCTATGGCTACCTTTATTCTAACTCCTGGTAATACACTAGCCACATTTCTACACTGAACTGCCAACAGGCCTCTTGGTTTTAGAAATCTTGCTTTTGGGTAGATTCCCTGAGGCGTTTCAGAACCTTTCTGACTGAAACCAGGCACGGGACTTGCCAGCCTAAATGCAAATATTTTTTTCTTAGCATGTTCTGGCATAGAAACTTTAAAAAGTACATATACTTTTAGCATCTCAAGAGTATCTGTAGTAAAAAGGGGGTTTTGTTAGTTTTGCTTGTGGTCAAGTCATAGAGTAAGAAATCACATTTGTAGGAGATAAAGGGAATTTTTAAACTGCTTAAAATTCACATTATTATGCTTGGATAAGAATTAGCAGGGAATGTTTTTTGCTCCATGGGTTGGATCCATGATGCATGTGCCAACTGGAAAACACTAGTTGGGTTGTCAGTCAGAACAGGAGCTGGTGACGTTTGGCAGATTTGGGCGCCTCCTGTTTTGGTAAGTTCTTGGATAAAGTGGGGACTGAATCAGACCCACGCCAAAGTCTACATATCTTTCTCTACATGACACCAAGTGGGGTGTCTTGCTCCGCTCCTTTGAGCAATACAGATGTGCGTGTTTAAACAGGTCATTTCTGAAGGATTGTGTTCTGACCCAAACTGATGTGAAAGGAATGAGGCCTCTCTAAGACAGTAGTGGCATTTTAAACCATTAAAAGAATGATGCGTGACTTATGAAACGGGTTAACCTGTTCTGTCTCCTCTTCCAGTTGGTGCGCTGAGGATAGAGTTTTCCCAGGCTGTGGATCTGAAGGAAGTTGAGAAAACAAACCCTGAAGTTAGAGAAGGAGGCCGCTATGCTCCAAAAGACTGTAAAGCGCTTCAGAAAGTAGCTATTATTATCCCATTCAGAAACCGGGAGGAGCACCTGAAGTACTGGCTCTATTTTCTCCACCCAATCCTTCGAAGGCAACAGCTTGACTATGGAGTGTATGTTATCAATCAGGTAAGACATTTAGGACTTTGGATGTAAATACCTCTCCAGGTAGTGTCTATGCAACTCTAAAATGCTAGTGCAGTTGTCTACAATGAATAATCAGCTTGCTCACATAGAAGACCTCATGCACAAAGGAAAAGGTTTATAACAAAATGAAATAATGGAAGGAAGAGCTAGGAACCCTGCACTGCAAAGTATGCAAACAGTCTAACACTTTGCTTTTGTAAGCCTAGAAAAATACTTCACAATGAACTGGAATCTACTTCTCAGGTTAGACACATTAACTATGAGGAACTCCTACATAAGTAGCCACATTGTGAGGGAGAGAAGGAAATCTTAGCAACACAGTTTAATCTTGTATACACAAAAGGTTGTATTTTGTTTGCCAAGTGGTTTAGGACTTGCATTCAGAAACATTAAATACAGAAGAGACAACTTAGATCATTTACTTTAGTCTGATCTCCTGCATATCACAAACCAAAGACAAGAGCCTGGCTGGTCCTGCATGTGGATAGAATGTAAATCTTTCAAATTGGTAGACAAGTAATTGTCTGTTTGAAATTAATGGGACAGAAAAAAATTAGTGGCATGCTTCTGATGTATCTGGTGAATCTGTCTCCAGGCAATCTGACTGGCTTGATATATGCCATAATTGCTACAAAATAATTGGATGTTCTGAGCACATGGTGAAACTTTAAAACAATATAAGAGAGTTGTATGAGTCATGATGTGAAAGTGTGCACTCCCTTAACTCCAAAGGGTGCCATGAAGTATTTGGCTCATGGATACTAACATGCTGCTTGTCCTGAGTCTGACCTTTGCATCCAGTTTTGATACTGGTTCTTGCAGTGTTGATCGGCAGCAAGCTTTTTTGGAGCATGACTCTTCCTAATTTCAAATTCTGCTGGCTTGTTCTGATACAGCAAAGAAGTATGAACTTTTCTTCTTGCCACAAGTAAATGTTTGAATATAATTTAAAAAAATAACAAATCTTTTGGGAAAAAGAGAATTAACACTCCATCTGCTGTGATTTTTGTTTTGGTCACTGTTGTTTCTGTGGTTGGGAGGTAGCTCTCTCCACATGTAGCATCTAATTACAAATGGTGAAATGCCTTAACTTGAATAAACTCCACCTAAAACATTTTTGGGCAGATGCATAGCATGTTTCTATACCACCCAAACTAGTAACAGTGAATCATGTTTCTACAACTTGTGATGATGAGGATGCAATCAGCTACTCTAAAATCTCTGTATTCTGTTCCAAAGACGTCCTTTCTGGCACAGCCAACAGGGCAGGTTACAGTACAACTCTTCAGATTGAGCTGTGTGTAACTATACTTCTCTTACAAGGGAGGGGGGGAAATAAATCCTCACACATTCCTAGTTGGTGAAGATAATATATTTTTACAGTTGGAAGCCACAGTACATTTTCATGTTTGGCCTGCCCGTATATTTCTACTAGTCTTCTGTTCAAGGCTTATTCAGGCTTCAGTCTCCTCTGACCATACAGATGGGTGTGGATACGCATAAACACATGCCTAGAGCTATCTTTACCTTCACAGCCTTTCTCAGCCAGAGTGCTCTTCCTGCCCAAAAGACTAGTGCCACAATTGGATATTTTTCAGTGCTGTGGCAAGTCACAAGTTGGCATAAGCAATTCGTAACAAGCCAAGAATGGTTTCCCTTGGCTTTGAACATTAATTTATTTTTATGCTGGAGCCGGCGGTTCCTTCAACAAAGTACATCTTCCTGTGAGACCTGGACAGCTGGTGTAAATGCTTGTCATAACCATCAGATGATCTG